CACGCGTAGTGCTTGTCCTTGCAGACTTTCGAGATTGCGGATGTTCGTCTTGCACGTACTTGCCAGTAACCGCAAGCTGTAGCGCAAAAATCCCAGAAACAGTGCTCTGTATAGCTGCATCATTGACCTTATGGATGCGCCCCAAGATTTTCCGCAGAGGAACCGCATTATATGGACAATGGAAGTTAGCCTTCTCTTCAGGTAATTGCAGTGGGCACTCCACGAAAGGTCCCTGTCAATAATCACACCCAGGAAGCGATGGTTCTTCTGGTATGGAATATTTTGTCCATTGATGGTAACGGGGTATTGTGTCATGGCTCTGCGGGTAAACGCAACCAATGCACATTTTCTCCGTTGAGACGGAAAGACCTTGCTTGCGGAGATATGAGCATGTCAAGGTGGCAGCCTGCTGGACTCTTGCACGTACTTGTAGACGAGTTACAGCCGAAGTCCATAGACAAATATCGTCAGCATATATGGATATGAGGATGGTACTTGGCAAAATTTCACGAAGTCCTACCATCACGAGGTTAAATAAAGTGGGACTTAATACGGCGCCCTGAGGGACGCCACGGGAGATATAGTAATTGGTGGTAGGTCCATCTGAGGTTTGTACAAAAAAGGACCTTCTCGTCAAATAATCCTGTATCCATTGGAACATCCGACCACCGATTCCAACAGCTTCCAACGAGTCTAGGATGGCTTTATGTGTTACGTTATCATAAGCCCCTTTGACGTCGAGGAAGAGTGCCAGTGGTATGCGCTTGAGGCTCTTCTGTTGCTGGATAAATGTTGTGAGATCAATCACGTTGTCAAGAGATGACCTACCTCGCCGAAAACCCGTCATGCAGTTTGGGTATACGTTGTAGCGCTCAAGGTACCATTCTAGGCGTGTAAGTATCATCCTTTCCATGACTTTTCCTACGCAACTTGCGAGGGCAACAGGGCGAAATGATGTCAAATCAAATGGTGACTTTCCTGCTTTGAGTAGTGGCACAAGTCGACTTATCTTCCAATCCTGGGGAACATTGCCCGCCAGCCATGAGTGGTTGTAATAGCTTAACAACTGTCCCCTTGCCTCCTGTTGAAGGTTGGCTAGAGCGGCGTAGGTGATGCCATCGGGTCCTGGTGAAGATGATCGTCGGGAAGCCGCCAAAGATGCGTCAAGTTCTTCTATAGTGAAAAGATTGTCCATTTCGTAGATGCGGGGTTCAGGGATAACACTCCTAATGGTGCCAGCAGACAAGGCGGACACACCAGCGATTCGCGTACAAAACTCATTTGCCACTTCAAGTTGGGTGTGGCCTGAATGTAGGGCTAAAGCCATGAAAGGATGTCTTTGTTGGGGAGTCGAGCGCAGGCCACGAATAGTGCTCCAGATGCATGACAACGGCTTTCGGGGATCTAATGATTCGCAGAATGATTTCCAGCGTTCCTGTGCAAGTTTGTCTAAACGTCGTTGGACTTTTTTCTGTATGCGTCGTGCCAGCCTCAAGTCGCATATTGCTTTCGTCCGCCTGTATCTTCTTTCCGCCCTTCGGCGAAGCGCGCACAGTTTTTCCAGTTCAACGTCGAAATCTGAACGCTTGCCGGTGAACGGGAGGAGACAGGAAGCTTCCCTCATTGCCTCTTTGATGACATCCTCCAAGTTCTGGTCAGTGTTTTCACGGCATGTATTTTCCATGAGTAGCTGAAACTTGGACCAATCAATTCTTCGTATTGTGGTCTTAGGAAAGGAGTTAGTAAGACCCCTTATTCGCATATAAGTTGGAATGTGGTCACTCCCATGCGTTTCGATGTCTGAAAACCAGTGCACTTGCGACCGGAAGTTTCTGGATACCAGAGTCAAATCGAGGCAACTGCTGTACGTAAGGCCCCGCAGGTATGTAGGACTGCCATCATTTAAGAAACATAGGTCATGCGTGGAAGCGAATGACACGAGGTTTCTTCCTTTAGCGTTGATCGTCGAACTACCCCAGATTAAGTGATGTGCGTTGAAGTCTCCAGTTATAACCCACGGGCCCGTAGTTGTTGTCAGTATGTCTCGTAGTCGGTCTTGTTCAAATCGTCCGGATGGTGATATGTAGACACCAATGAGTGTGAATGACACTTTTTCCTTTTTAACACGTAAGCAGACATATTGATTGTCATCATGCGGTTGAACTGCATGATGCACATATGTGAAATCTGTGCGAATGTAAACAACCACCTTGCTGCGTTCCTCGCACGTTGAAGAAACGAAAGATTCATACCCTGATAGTTTAGGAGGTTGTTGCACGTTTGGTTCACATATAACTATCATAGGAATACGATTCATGAATATATACTGACGGAACGAAGAGATGCGGGATCTCAGGCCTCTCGCGTTCCACTGCATTATCGACGCTTGTTGGACCTCGTTGCGGAAGGAGAAAATTGGTCGAGCCATGGTTGCTACTGGAGACTTGCAAATACTGGACTTAGAGCATCCACTACTTGTAGTGCACTCTGAGCGAGTGGAGACTTCAGGCTGCTGCACAGCTTTCGCATGGCATCCAGCAGCGTGAGGACCTCTCGATTGAAGCGCTAGTGGAAAGCCACATGAAAGCTGCACAAGTGTTGTCGAAAGAGTACTACGACAAATCGGCGAAGAAGCGTGCTTTTGAAGTAGGAAGTCAGGTAATGCTGCTGCAGCCGTCCAAAAGGAACAAGCTTAAGGTTGATTGGGAAGGGCCTGCCAATGTAATATCGAAGCTTCCCGATACGAATTATGAAGTGAAATTAGGAAGGCGGCAGAACAAAATTTACAACTTGATGAAACCCTACGTTCAACATCAAGCGGTCGTAAATCAGCTGTTGAATGCTTCAGAGGAAGAGGGAGCAGAAATTTGGAGTTTTAGTGATGTAATCGAAAGGGGATCGGAGGTAACCTTGGAGCAGTTGAACCTAGAACCTAGGTTAAGTGAAGTCCAGAAGGAGGACCAGAGAAAGATTGTTTTGGTGTTTGAAGACGCGTTTTCGGACCGCCCCGGAAACACGAGGGTGATCGAACACGATATCGAGCTAAGCGGTGAGGAGTCAATCCGTAGCAAGCCGTATCGTTGTTCCCCTGTGCAACGTCGCAAGTGTGAGCCGCTCTTGGTACCGCATAAGTATCGTCGCCTAAAAGTGGCCGGTTACTGAGATGGAGCATGATACTCCGACAGCGCAACTTTGACGTTCGCTAAAAAAAGGGAAAGCTCAACGCTAATGCAGGGGCATTGAGCAGTGCGTTCTAGCTAGTACCTTCTCAACCTTTCGGTTTCTCGCTGGCGATTCGGGGCAAAATTTTGTCCTCATCACGACCTGGGCTGAGCGCTCTCGTTCAGAGTGATCTCAAGGGGCCAACTTTATGTGGTATTCTAATTCGCTGCGTTGTTGTACGTGTGAAAATTCGAGTTCTTATTTTAAGAGTCTTGTGTCCCACATGTGCCTCTTGATGTAGAGGGAACGAAATTCCGATAGACACGTACCTAGGTATATGTTGTACTATACATTGTCTGGTGTTCTGTCGGGTGAGCGAGGGCACTTGCTTGTGTCGTGTGTTTTCTGTTGTCGAACCGTTCTTGACAAGTTGCAGAACCATCGACAAGTGCTGAAACCAAAGATTGTCAGAAGAGACGAGCGAAGCTGGTCGACAAGTTGTGGCGACAAGCCAGTGGAGCTGGGATCCGTCCTCAAGAATGGGATGTGTTCCCGGAACGGAGTCTGGAGCTGCCTTCTCCCTATGGCCCTGGAGGCGAACCTGGAGGGACCTGGCGAACGAGCGCGCCTGTCATCCGAGCCCCGTGGAAGCAGCTCGTCTTTCCGGCGCATTGTCTGGCGGCGGGGGTACTGTTATGCCTGCGAGTCCACAGCGAACGTCCGTGCCTCTGAAAAAGGCAATCTGTGTCAAGGCCAGCCCGCCTGACACGAACAACTCAACGGCGTCATCACGCCACGGCGCCTTTCTGGCGCGCACGTGCAGTGAGTCAGCGCAGCCGCGAGCCCGTCGAGTAAACAACCGGCGTCTTCCTGTCTGGCGGCTGACGCAATGCGCGGCGACGTCACTCGTCCTTGGGTGCAGCCACCTGCAGCGCAGCCTCTCCAGATTCGATGAGAAAGAAGGACGCGGCCCAGCGGCGACCTCATTGGAGGATTCTGACTTCGCGACCAGCGGCGCTTCGGGTTGGACATTTGGGTTGGACCCGGGGCATATAAAAGAAGCCCTGCGGCGCGTCGAGAGAGACCCCCTTTTTACAGCGGACCCATTTTAGAGCAGACCTATGTGTTAGAGAGGAGAGCTCGGCTCTTCCAGTCTCTGTCGGCCCCAGTGCCGAATTTGTAACGCCTCTGTATATATGCTGTTTATAAACCTTGTTTAACTCACCGTCGTCTCGTCCGCTCGTCTATCAGCTCTGCGCAGAAGCAGTCGCGAGCTGAGAAACCTACGCTACCAAACGGCTGGTGACCTTCCCGGCGGAGTTCGAAGCAGTGGCGCCTTCGGGACCGTGTTGGCGTCACCGTCTTTCGAAACAGTGGTCGCAGCGTTGAGATTTCGAGGCGCCCTTCGTAACGTCGTCGGAGGTGCGCGTCGCAACAATGCGCAGCTGTCACTTGCACTTTGTTATACGGAAGGTGTTATCACATATTTGTTCTCTCTCTTTTTTGCTTTATGCTTCTAGAGAGACGTAGCGCGTGCGCAACACCATGAAACTAAACAGTTATTTATCAGTCTTTTGACTGCTCCCTCTTTCTTTTTTTTCTTTTTTGCGTGTGTGTGTGTGTGTGTGTGTGTGTGCGTGCGTGTGTGCGTGCGTGTGTGCGTGCGTGTACGTGTGCTCTTGTCGAAATTTAGCACTTATTCTTTCAATGTTCATGGAAAGTGAATGAGCCCAGCGCTTTGCTCTGCTATTGTCGGATAATGTTGCTGCTGACGGGATTCCCCTGCAGGTGTTGCGCTGCTCAAAGCGCCCTATACCAGTTTTTCCTCTTCTTCGCAGGCGTGTGCTATGCGGAGTTTGGAGTGAGGGTGCCGCACACGACCGGATCTGCGTACATGTACAGCTACGTGACCGTGGGCGAGTTCGTGGCCTTTGTCATCGGCTGGAACATGATACTGGAGTACCTGATTGGCTCGGCGGCCGGGGCGTGCGCCATCAGCGCCTGCATCGACGCCATGCTCGGGGGCGCCATCAGCGACGCCTTCCGGAACACATTCGGAACCATCATTGGTCGGTGACGCTGACACGCATGCAGAATCCTTCTTGATAAGTCGATCTACTGAGGTAGCCCAAGAGGTTGAAATCACCCAAAAGTTACAGGGCCGTATTCGAACTGCATGAGGCCCGTCCACTTAGATGTAGGTGCACCTTAAGGAACACAAACGGCTTGGGTTTCATCCTCACTCGGGCTTGCAAATGTTGATTTATTTTATTTGCGTCTTTCTCGATTTTTTCGGTCAAGCTTCACGATTTTACGGAACCCTCCACTATGACGTCACTCGTAATGATAATATAGTTTTGGGATGTTAGACCCCAACAATAATAATGATAGCATTGAAGAACTCGCTTATTAATTTATCTTATTTATTGATGAATACTGCAATTCCGAGTGAGAGATTAGAACAGGGTGGGATATACAATCATAAGTATAGCAAGGCAAACATCAATCCAGGCATAAACATAAATACGAAAGTATGATACAGTTCAGACTATTTGAGTAGAACAAAAATCAAACATGAAAACTCTTATACAACAGTAACAGTAACAGTAAGAAAAAACAACAGTAACAATTATGAAGACAACATATAATTTAAGGTATATATATTACACAAAAAATATGACGCAAACATTTCAAGGGATGGCTGTAGAACAACGTAATTGGTTAGGTTGTTCCAATCTCGGAAAAAATTAATACTTGAAACAAGTATTTCGAGACTGAAAGGGTGTGATAGATAGGTTATGGCGCTGCCTTGTTGAATATCCGAAAGACAAAGATAAAAGTTGGCTATTATCTATCTTATAGTGCTTGTTTATTAACTAAATAAAAATATTTTCGCAGAATTTCCAGCGTCGGTGTGGGCGTCGTTGGTTGTGAGGAAAAATGTATCTTGCACGTAACCAAACATCGAAAAAAATGCGAATAAAGTAAGTTATGATGCTTTGCTGACGCACATGGCCGTAGTGGAGGTCTCCGCAAATTTAAACCACCCGGGGTTTTTTTAACGGGCCCCTAATCAGAGTGCATGGTCGTCAAGAATTTCCGCCTTCATCGAAAATTCTACCGCCGCGGCCGGGATACGATCTCGTGATCTGCGGCTCAGCAGTCAAGCAGCATAACCACGCACCACTGTGGCGGGTTACGAGAAAAGCCAGGAAAAAGATCGAGCACAGGGCAAAAGACAACTGCGACCGAAGCCGGTGGCCCATTGATTAGCAGATTGCGCTTCTCTCGCGCGTAATATCACTGATAGCCCGGTTTCGTACGTGCATTAATGTGGACGTGGATGTCGTGTATATCACCGTTAGGTTGCATGTCAACGCGTTTTGTTCGTCGATAATCGACTCGAACCGCCTACAGTGAAGCGCCGCTGCGTACATTTCGATACGCGCCGCCATCCACCTATCCACACTAATGCGGCCACAGTTCTGCCACCTGTAGCTCGACCCCGCCGCGAATAGCAACAGATCTACAGTTTCCGCCTGAAAGGACTGGTTTTAGAGGTTCATGTAAACGTCATTGTTCTGTTCTGCTATAACTGTCTTGCTGTGGAAATGTTGAGGTCCAAATTACCTCGGCTAATCCATGTCTATCGATTCTGCAGCAAAAAAAAATAAATAAAGAAGGTTCTTCAAAGTGAGCATTAAAAAAAGACATGATAGCACTCTAAAACAAGTTTAAATAACATGGCAAAGTACCGTTTGCGTGAAGCAGTTCACAGTGCAATAAAATGTTCACACGCACACGTTTATATTTTCATGTAGGCTGGCTTCCTGAGTATGACTTTGTGGACGTGGTGCTTCTATCGTAATTCGTCTTCTACTTTTCTTGTCATAGTCTACTCCCATGGCACGGACATACCGCGCGTCACCTCGGAGTGGTTGTAGCGTGTCTTCTTCGTCTTATCGGCAGGTCACACTCCGGACCTGCTGGCCGGTATCATCACCGTGCTGATGAGCGCGCTCATGCTGGCGGGCGTCAAGAAATCCCTGCTATTCAACAACGTACTGAACTGCCTCAACTTCGCCGTGTGGGTCTTCATCATGGGCGCTGGACTCTTCTACATTGACACCGACAACTGGACCAAGCACGGGGGATTCGTCCCTTACGGCTGGTCAGGGGTGCGTACGCCACTAATCATTCAATTCAGTTCAGTTAAATTCATCGTGTCTATTTTCCTGACAAATCAAGAAGTAGGTGAAGACCATTCATTCATTTAGGATACCATCAAGGCCAAGGGCATTAGAGAAGAGAGTGGGTACCTATAAACCAACCAAAAGTGAGAAAAAGCGAGCAAACTTATGAAGTTATAATTATGAAATTGTAACGAAGATATTCTCGAAGGGTTAGTGATTTGGGATAGAGGTGACGTGCGGAGGAAGGCGATTCCACTCTTCTGATGTCCTTGATAAAAAAGGCTGAAATAAAAAAGAGAGTGTCAGTTCTGCAAAAATGAATACATACATTTTGGCCGCGACCTAGGCAAAACGAAACATACTGAGGTGGCAATATGAATTCGTCGCTGTGCTGTAGACGATCAAATGTGGGGTGAAAGATGCTTAATCAAAGCGTCTTCCGACGATGTGCCAGAGGTGAGAGATCGAGATCTGATGTTGTCGAAGATGTGATTGCTGTTCTGTTGTAGCAGAAATTAATTAAATGTGTAGAGTTACCTTCAGCCGTTTCTAGAGTATGCATGAAGTTTGCATGGCTTGTAACAGCTTGTATGCGCACGCTTAAGCTCCTGACAAGGATCGCCGCCCCCACGTACACTTAAAACCATGATGAACCTTTTTGTGTGGAGTTTATATCTCCTGTACGTTAGGTTTACGGAGTAACTGTAATCAAGGTTAGATAAACACTGATATAAACTGCATGTATTCAATACGCGTGCACGAAATTAATACATTTGTATAGAGCACTCACGACATATATACTCGTAAGACACTGAAATGGGGATACACAACGCTCGAAAGTCTCCAAACTCAAGTCATATAAGTGCAATGACGGTACATACTGGCACCACATAGAACAAAGTCTAAATAAACACAAGAAAAATAAAACACATCGTCAGTACACTACATTTCTCAGTCCCCTTGATATTATTGGGAGAACAAAAAATGTATTTGAGTTGTGACTATAATAAAGTTTGATTTTGCTATTTATTGCACTCGAACAACATTTATAGTTAACTTGATATGAACATGTGTACCTTCTTTCGTCCGTGTTTTCCGAGCGCTTTTAGTTTTATTCAATATGGTGTACCTATGTGCCTAAACTGCCACACTTTTGTCTGTTTGATAAATAGTCTGATTTCTTGCACGCTTCCTATCCGTACATTGCTATATGATCAGCCAAACCACACATTACTATCTCTCTTCTAGTTTGCCTCTCTACCTTTATAATCTCCGTTCACCTCTTCCTGGATTTATTTAAAATTCTAGCTAGTCAAACTTCAGTCGCAGGCTCGATTTAACAGCGTGGCTTAATCTTGTGAGCATTCAGGGATAACGATAATACTCATCTTTATTGGTGTATTCTCAGTATAGACACCGCTACTGATGACGTAAAATGCCGTGACGTATCTACCTTCCCTCCTACTTTTCCCTGATTGCGTCTCCTCTTATGTGGTTTAAGCATAACCTGTTTGAACCTGTTCGTAGTGCCTGTGCGTATGCGCAAACACGCGTAAAAGGCTGGTTGTGTGGTAGGCGGCTTTGCCGCATGAGTGTTGTTACGGTGGCAGAGCACACTTTACAGAAGTGGCTAAACGCCGCATTTATCGTTTGATATCAGTTGCCTTGTGTATTTGTTTTATGTTGATATCTATTGTTTTGGCTCTGTTTGATGTTACTGTATGTATGTTTTCTCCATTCACGCCATCAGAAGTTCGCCACTGACCTGTGACATTAATTGCACGAAGCGGAAATAAACGTGTGGGAATAGTCTTTTCAACGCATGTGTTACTGAAGCCACACTGCCTGTACGTACACCGCACATTACTTTTAGTGCAAATGTTTGCAACGATATGACGTTGTTGTCAAAAGCAGTTGCTTGTAGCAGTTTTCATAATAAAAAAAAGAAACGGCGTTGATTAAGATACTTTCTGATGCAAGTTCTGACACCACTTTGTGTCCAGGCAATGCTAATCGTGTTTTGTAGTGTACACCTTTTCCGAAGGAGCACGGCCACTAGCGTGGGTTTGCCTTAGCCAGAAACAGGGCCTCGCCTGACACGCCACAGCACACGCATGTTCAGTAAGTCGAGGTGACGAGCGAAGCGTGGCGAGTACACAGTACTGATTTCAAACAAGTCGCAATACTGCCTTGCCTGCGGCAACACTGAAGCGCAGTACAGCGCCCGTTGCAAAAGGCGGCGGGAAAGCAAACGAGGCTTATCCACGCCACGGGCGAAAGTACAACACAAAGGGGTGCCGCGAGTGCGTCTCCGTGGACAAAATGGTTCACTGTGACAGGCAGCTGAGGAAAACGGGCCCTCGCGACTATGCTGCGCGCTCTCACAATCAGTGACAACAGGGCCATGATCGCGCGAGCGGGGGCAAACTCCGCTCGCGTTGGCTTCTACAGGTAGGGGTCGATGTATTATACGACCACGCGTGAACACACCGCACCGCTCTCCAACCTAGGGTTCGGATGGGGAAACGGAAGGTAAGTGTTCGCCGTGGACGCAAGACACCGTTGACGAGTCGGGGCGAGCTCCAAACATAGGCAGCCGACGGACGGGAAAGAAATGCGTGCTCACTCTTTGGGTGTGTTCCAATACGCACCGTAGGCGGCTAAATAGACAGCTAAATGCACGGCGGCCATCTAAAGTCCCATTCCAATTCTCACGTAGCCGGCAAAATAGACAGCTTCGAGAAGGCCGCATCGTAAACAAATACGATGCAACCTACTTTGCTGTCTAAACAAGATGGCGGCTCAGCGAATCGCTCAGATAGATCGGATCTCGCCGGAACGGTCGACTGCACACAAGCAGACGCTTCCCTAGACGCTCAATGTGAGTAACGTTTATTTGTTTTTTATTTCAACACGAAATAAGCCAGAAATTACAACTGTTACGTTTGTTTCTTTTAGCTTTTTCTTTTCGACGTGAGGTGGCGCATCGTCACGTGAGAGCCGTCTAAATGTGTTCCATTTCTAGGACAGCATGGGCTCAATGCCGTCTTCTAAGCAGTCTTCGTAGACTGTCTACGTGCTGTCTAAGGATTGGAACACAGCCTTTGTTGTCTGGAGAGCGTCACGCCGTCCGACTGACTCCCGACTCGTGCGCGCGAAGCGTCCTGGGAGACTCGAGCGCAGCGCCACAGTCGGCTTCCGCTACCGGGTGAGAAGGGTTAACATCAATCCCGCTCTCCAAGCGCCGACGAACCGCGGAGGAGGGCAGAGTCATGTTAGGACGTCAGAGCGGCAGAAATTGGTGACGAATCCCGCGTAGTAGCGGTGAGCTATACTCGGCGACAACTTTTCTTGGCACTGAAGGGAAAGCTACGGAGGTGGAGATTTCGGCACATGTAGCATTACGCGAAGTAGTCTGTCTTGGCACGCGTCTCGTAACGCTGTAGGAAAGTGACGGGGGCGCACCATCAGCGTTTCATGTCGACGCAGACGCCGCTTAGCGTTTGAGGTGCACGTAATAAGGCGGGACCTTTTCACGCGTTCAAAAACGTGGTCACAACAGTAAAGTTATACTATAATTACGAATATCTTACTAGTGTGGGCTGTGTTTTGTCTCAAATAGCTCCACGTAAAAAATAAAGGAGGAACATTTATAATTCACGTTGAAAATACGGGCGCTATTTTGAACTACATTCAGTGGCGGTAGGATGTACGTGATTTGGCTCCGTAGCTTTCCCTTCGGTTCCAAGGAAAGTTGTCGCGAGTGTAGCCTCGATTCCCACAGTTTCAAGTTTTGGCTTTCCGTAGTTGCAGCATCGTAACGTTTCCTCCCTTCCCTTTCTATTTCTTTCTCTGTCCGTTTTCTATCTCTCTTTCTCTCTTCTTTTTTCTCTGCTTACTTTCTATGGCTTTCTAACTGTTTATCTGTCGTTTTCTCTTTATTTTGTATGTTTTATTTCTCTAGCTCTCTCTATCTGTCATTCGTGTGTTCATTTTCGTTTGACACTCGAACTTGTTCTACATGATAATTGGGCTTCCGCAATTCACGTGGCGCGTACTTTTTCGCGCGGTGACGCCATCGATTGCGACGGCAATGCCGCTAAAGGCAGAAACAGGAATTCTAAGAGCTGTACTAAAAAAGATGTCGCGTCTCGGTCCATGAGTATGTACATATATATACGAAACGTCAGTCGCAGCAGTTTAGGCGAGGAAAGCCTGTTCAAGGCGTGCATGTGGGCATGTTTGCTGTACGGTGCGATTTCGGTCTGCAGGTTCTGGCCGGCGCTGCAACGTGCTTCTACGCGTTCATCGGCTTCGACATCATCGCCACGACGGGCGAGGAGGCCGAGAATCCAAAGGTCGCCATACCGACGGCCATCATCTTCAGCCTGGCCATCGTTCTCACTGCGTACATCACGTCCAGCATGATGGTGAGTACTTCCCACGCTGTCGTGATTTGAAAATGCGTTTCACGTGAAGAATCTCGCTTACATAAGTAATAAAGAGAGAGAAGTGCAGAAGAAGGAAACTACTCATCCATATAAACGTGCTACCACGCACGAGCGCGTTTTTTTTTCTTGCTTCTACGCATAATTCCAGCCCGTAAACTAGACTCCCGAATGACGTTGGAGTAAAAAAAAACAAGAAAAGGAAAATAGAAACCCGGCCTGCTAAGAACAAGCAGCACGGTCACAGCGAAAGCTGGAGGAGTGGCCTTTTTGGGGCCTGTTCTGAACTCTTCTGGGTGCCTGCCATCTGCAAGTTCACGTGGAAGTTACCAACTATGCCATAAATCATCATAATATTTGAGGAATAGTCAAACAGCCACTATGTGATTATTCGTCATTCTGTGGAAAAGTCATGCATCGGTAAATCCCGATTGATCATGAATGCTTTATTTCTCATTTCGTGTGACAGCCGTTGTGAACACTGCAGTGGTGGTGGCGGAAAACATCGCCAATGAAGTCTACTCTTGTTGTGATCTCATAACAATCGCTGTAATATCATTAATTTAAGCGTCTCGTTGCGTAAAGTATAACCCAATAACGATTGTACACCAAACGGGGCTTCGACTCCAGGCCTAACTCAAACAGAGTGGTGCCCAGCCCCGCTTTTATACTCAACCCGACTCCGCGTTTCGGTTAGTCTTTCCCGTCATTGTTGCTGCAAGGTGTTGCTTAAGAACGATGTCCCAATTCCGTTGCATACTGGCTTACAGTAAGAACGTCTGATAGCTGACGTAATCTTCGCTCACAAAAATCTTGCGGGGTGATTTGGATGCGTGCTCACCACTTGAATTCTTGAATTGAGTGGTGACGCTGTCCATAGGCGTAGCTGGTGGAAGGTAGGGGGAGTTCTAAACCCCACCAACAAAATTTTTCAATTTTGCATGTGTATATATACACGCACACATACAAATACACACGCGAAGGTTAACTGAACACCCTTGCCTCCAACCACCCACTAAAAAGTTCGGGGCTACACCTTTGGGCCCCTGCACTGCCCTCGGCTTTTTTTAGCACCAATGGACGTTGATGGACATGGTGTTTCAAAGGCCCTTTGATGAAGCATAAGTTCCCTAAGTCCTTGTTCCGCACTCCACGAACAGGCTAGACAGATATATAGACAGGCAGGTGCCTCATAACGGCCGACCAAAGTTTCGATACGTGAGCTTGTTTTTTTGTTTTTTTTTTGTCAAATGCGCCGTGTTGTTCTTGCCATGGCGTGTTAGCTTCAAAAAATTTGTCGTTGACATCGCTTCACGTCACTGACCCTTCGAAATCCAACACGCCAAGAAACACGAGCAGCCAGTGAAAAGAAGAAAAAAAAAAACACGTGCGTCTATGTAAACGTCAGACAACAATCCCAATGCACCTACAAGCTTCATGCAAGCTCACACAAGGGCAGACGGGCCCCTGTTTTGACCAGAGATCAAAGTAACATAAGAGATGGCTAACCGGAGGCTCACCACCTTATCTCTCTTTACATTGTAGAGAGCCTAAATTCACGCCGAAATCCGATGATTGCGCACTTTTGTATAGACGCAGGAATACAGAAACGCGTCTAATGGTTGAGACCTGACGTGTCGATAATATTGGTGTTGCACATGTGTGATAGAATCGTCAATTAACCTGCATGAAGAAGAAATAAATGCGTGAACGGTTATCTCTCGCGTAGGATCCGACGCGTGTTCGATTGATAGGTATGGATTCTTGCTAAGGCATTCATGCGCAAGTCTTTTGTGTCTAGCCTTTTTTCCAACGCTTTGCGCCCGTCAAGTTGTTAGTCGACGTTTGTACTGTCCTGGCTTCTGTACTGTGTCCATGTCTGCACGCCCTGTTTTTAGAATGAATACGCGGCAGCTAGCTCCGCTCTGTTATTTTAAGCTCTTCAGGAGAGGGTTTTTTAGATATGTCAGCTTCATCTCTACTGAACTTCACGAATTTTGTTCAACTCGTGAATGATCTTTTTGCTTGAGTTTATTCCAGCGTTTGATGTTGACCCCTGCCCTAATGCATCCCCCGGACGGGTCGCAGGTGACGCTAATCGTTCCGTACAGCCAGATAAACGCCGGTGCTGGTCTGGTGGAGATGTTCGCCCAGAGAGGGGCCCGTTCCTGCCACTACATCGTGGCTCTCGGGGCACTCGCTGGCCTCGTCGTCTCCATGCTGGGCTCCATGTTCCCCATGCCTCGTGTGGTTTACGCCATGGCAAAGGACGGCCTCATATTCAGGTATACACGAACACAAGCTTCACCGCAGTCAACAGCCTCCCCCACGCGCCCTCTTCCATGCCACTCTTTTCATTGGTCGGTTCTGATAGAACACAAACTTTGCAATTGATGCGAAAATGAATGTGTAACGATGACGTGCCTCTCGCAACGGACTGTTCTTGGTCCCCGGCTTTGCAGAGGGTAAAGGTGGAAAGAAAACAATGCTTGTAACGTGTCATACGGGTCCATCAGCCGCCATTATCGTCAAATACATGAATGGCTACTGCCCTACACTAAAGTTGCGGGGCAGACTTTATGCCCCCTCCTCTTTAATTATTTAGCAAGGAGGTGTCCCCCCACCTTTTTGCACACCGTGGGCACGCCTGGGAGTCCTGGCCTATCGTGTTCACTTGACTAGCCGCAGGGGTTAGCTCGGGTTAATATCGCCTAGTGCTGCCTAAATGAAGAATGACGTTGGCAGTGTAAGGTAGTGTGGGCAACTTCGGCTAATATAGACTTGGCACCTGGTTTTTGCTATGTTTCAACCACCGTATACTAGAGCTTGTTGTACGGCTAAATTTGTATCACCTGAGCTGGTGCATGTTGGCTCAATGACTGCTATAACCATGTCGTCAAATGCTGCACTGGTGTCAAACGGCCACTTTTCATAGCTACCAAGACCGATACTGATTAGGCTTAATCCCCATCAGGGGCTGAAACGCGTTATAACTTTCGGGAATTATCAGGCCCTACCACGAGCACGACCATCACGATCTCAGCGTGGCGATCTGGCTTCCAGATCGCGATTTCACTGTCGTTTGCGTCAAGTTTGATCCGGATTAGTCAGTACCGCGCAGGGACTGCTAATGACGTAGAAGTGTGGCAGCTTGGGCTAGTTGGTATGGCATGACGATAGTTATAGCGCGAGAACAAAACGACGACACAGAGACAAGAAGGACACGAAAACACTAGCGCTAGTGTCTTTCGTGTCCTTCTTGACTCTGTGTCGTCGTTTTGTTCTCGCACTATAACTATCGTCATGCTGATGACGATCAAGTAATTTTATCTGTGCAGGCGCACATAACGGTCAAACGTGCCTGTGTCACGCTGTTATCAACTAATCATGGCTGCTGTCTACTCGACGTTGACAAATGTTGGTTTGAGTGTTGCCACTACGAGTAATTTGTGTGCTCTGTCTCAAAATGTTCTCCATATTCCGCTCCAGTATGCACAGTCATTCGCAAAAAAAGTTTGTGGACCATGTGAGCAGGTGACCACCATCCCCTTCACGACGTTTTCGCTGCATCAGTGGCGACGTACTACAGTCTCCAAAGCGACTTATCAGTAAAATCGATATCCACCCTTTCGTCCAGCGTCTTTGTTCGGACAAAATGGCTTCTGCCCGACGGCGCACCACTGGAGGCAAGCCGTGATTAATCTGTCGAAATAAGCGAATGATGGCCTTACCGAAGATTAACACTTTGCTTAAAAAATCACGAACTAGCATCCAGTTGTGTTCAAATAATACATTTATATGACAATGGTACCTATTTGCGGGCCCAGCGCAGTGGTCTCCACTATAGGTGCCGCACCACTATGTGTTGTGGACAGGCAGTTTGGCAATTTCGTCACACGCTTGAGTGGTCCGCCAATGTTTTTCTGTTTAAATATGTTTTCACGGTTGGCATGTTCTACCAACCTCGACGCAGGGCCCTGGCCAAGGTGTGGCCAGTGACGGAGACGCCTGCATTCGCCACTCTGCTCCTAGGTGGAGCCACGGCTATCGTCTCCATCGTCATGAGCCTCGACGTGCTCGTGGAAATGATGTCTATAGGTATGCCCACACTACGAGACACCTTCGCCACATTGTGGAACAACCGACAAAGTATAGCTGAAATAAGGCATGTTGTTGGGATAGTCGCTTCATGGTTTCAAAAAGGCGTTAAACAGTGCGAAGAAGACACGACGAGAACAGGAACAGACACACTCACAAAAGCGCAAAAACAAACGCTAAAAAAAGCGCACAATCGTTTGTGTATGTGTGTGTTCCTGTTTTCGTTCTGTGTTCGCGCTGCTTCAAGCCATCTCACGTGCACGCGCAAGCAAAACGAGGGCTTCGCGAATCCTAGGCGCGTTCTCGTGAAGCTGACGAAGCTTCATCGAGTCGCTATTGCACCACCTCCATTAATGAATAATAACTGACGAGACGCACTGTGTTCCGTACGCTTTGTTTTGTCTAATTTGCACCATTACGCCAACAACGAACACGCGCGTACAAAGGAAGACAGAGTCGCATCGCTACCGAACCCACAACAACTTCGTCGCTTTGTATGAATGGAACTGCGTGTGTTTCTCTCCTCTTTTCGACTGTGGCGTGTCATCAGCAACAGAGTACTATTTCTCTCTCTCTCTCTCTCTCAAATGCAATGTACCAACCTCGAAAAGAACGTGCAAATATCGCTACGCGCGCACGTGTCCAGACATAGATGCACATTCGAATTCACGCACAAATGCCCGCGACGAGTAGAAAGAAGTGCAACATGAAAATGAAAGCCACAGCGGGGTATCTTCAACTGTAACGCACGAGGCGCTGCTCGGAAGTAAACCCCGCAGGGTCAGGGAACGCGAGAGTCGAAACGGTCGAGTCGGTGAGACGCGGAAGCGAATTTACGCTCGCGACATGTTTGCCAGCGCCCTCTTTATGCCGCCGCAGCGCGGCTGTCATCATATCACAGTTCCTGTATACGGAAAGTGAGTGAACTGGACGATAGAGGACGCAGAATGATTACGGAACACCGAACGTTTAGGCAACGGAGCTGACTTCAAGTGAGATGTTGAAATTGAGTAAGTGAATTAAGAAGTAAATAATCAAACTATAGCCGCGATTTTGTTCTTACCCTACTGTTATGACCTCTAAATTGAAGCGGAATACCAGTTGCGTGCTTAAGGTTGTCGTTACTTCTCCGAGATTTTGCATCTTTTCGTCTTCGAATCTCCTCTGTATAGCTGCCGTGGGGATCTAGTGATTAAGGTGCTCGACTGCTGACCCGAAGGTCACGGGATCGAATCCCGGCTACGGCGACCGAATTTCGTTGAAGTTGAAATGATAGAGACCCGTGTATCTAGACGCAGACGCACGTTGAGGAATTCCACGTGGTTGAAACTGTCGGACTGCTTCACTATAGAGTCCCTCTTAATCATATCGTGGTTTAGGAATGTAACGCCCCCAACAATTATTACTACCTGTTGCACTTTGTGCGCTTCATGCAGGAAAAAATATTCAGGACAGAGCTCTTCAATAACCCGTCATAGTGGTCTAGTAGTCTAGCTCCAGGGATGACCCTATGTTCGCAGGATCAAATCTCGGCCACGGCAGGCGAGATTTGATCGGTGGAGGCGAGGGTTCTTGAAGGTCACGTACATAAATTAAATGCACGTTAAAGCAGCCCAGGTGGTTTAAATTTGTGAAACCTTCCACTCACACGTCCCTCAATATCATATATCGTTTTTTTTTGGGGGGGGGGGGACACTAAACACCAAATATTATTGAACTATTCGCTGTCTGATGTGACCACATAAACTTATGCGTCTGCGAATCCATCAACGTGTTAACGGCGTCATGTGGGCGACAGGTGAAATGACGTTCCGTCCTCCGATATTATGCTCGTTCCGCTGCGGCCCGCGCTATGAATAGGCCACCATGAATCCCGCATCCACATTTTCGTCACTGCGGTTGCCACGCCGCGGTGGTCCAGTGGCTAAGGTACTCAGCTGCTGAACCGCAGGTCGCGGGATCGAATTCCAGCTGCAGCTGCTGCATTTTCGATGGAGGCGAAAAGGCTGTAGGTCAGATAGCTCAGATTTGAGTGCACGTTGAAGAACCCCAGGTGGTCGAAATTACCGGAGCCCTCCACTATGGCGTCTCTCATAATCATATGGTGGCTTTGGGAGGTTGAACTCTGCATATCAATCAATCAATATCGTCACTGCGGTTGCCACAAAGCACCGCCACTGCATGCGCCTCTGTCGGCGTTCAATTCTCGTGACGCTACCTGGTGGCCCACTCTGGCGCGTGTGCCACGCCATAAATATTCCTGCTCCGTCGCTCAGTTAGAGTTGAATAACTGTAGCTTTAGGCTGTTACTTTAATTTAAGCCAACCCATCCTTAATTTTTTTTTCATCATCATTGGCGACCCAGACAAGCGCTGCTTCGGCAATGACCGGGGTATTTAAGGCAATAGCCTTTATCTCGCTGCTTTGGCAATGACCGTGGTATTTAAGGCGTTAGCCTTTATCTCTATTCAGCCAAATGCACTGTCATATTACGGCCTTATTTCGGGCAAAAGAGAGGCGCATTACCGTACGCGTGGTAGTAGCTATCCTGAACGCTTCATACATACATACATACATACATACATACATACATACATACATACATACATACATACATACATACATACATACATACATACATACATACATACATACATACATACATACATACATACATACATACATACATACATACATACATACATACATACATACATACATACATACATACATACATACATACATACATACATACATACATACATACATACATACATACATACATACATAGATGGCTAGATGGCTAGATGGCTAGATGGCTAGATGGCTAGATGGATAGATAGATAGATAGATAGATAGATAGATAGATAGATAGATAGATAGATAGATGGATAGATAGATAGATAGATAGATAGATAGATAGATAGATAGATAGATAGATAGATAGATAGATAGATAGATAGATAGATAGATAGATAGATAGAATTGAAGTGCTTCATCTGTTGTGCTCCACAGGCACGCTGATGGCGTACACGCTGGTGTCGACGTGCGTGCTGTTGCTGCGGTACCAGCCGCGCACCAAGACCCTGGTGGAGCTGCTCCCGGAGTCGGTGCGCTCGCAGTGCCCTACGCCCAGCAGCGAGGCGCCCCCGTCGATGGTGCCCTCGCTTAGAGGACTCGGACTGGGCTCTACGGGGCCACCCCTGGGGGCCTCCACGACCACCATACGCACCAAGAGGTCCAACCGCGTCGTTACGCCCGACAGCGACGACGACGAGAGAAAAGGTGGGCACCGAAAAGGGCGAAGTGCTAAGCGTATGCACAACACACATTCTTCAAAACAAACAAACCAGCCAAACGAATACTAAAGGGCGAATGCCAGATGTGTGGACGCATACGACTGGCCGCACACAATGAAGCTCCTAGCAAATGTAACCAGAAAACTACACGGGACACAGCCAAAAGCAACAGAAAATGGTAGAGTACCACTTCGCGTTGTCTCTTTCTGCGTCCCTTGCGGGTTTTTTTTTTTTTTTTGAGGACTAAACTATTTTTTTCTTAGAGAACTAAAAAGTGTGTTTGCGGCCACACACCGACCCACTACGTCATGAATAACAGGTTTACTTTTGAAAACGGTCGTGCGGAATAAGTGGTGCTATCAAGGATGTCAGAAAAAAATGCTTTTCATTTCGACTCTAGTTTAGTTCTGTCTCGAAAAGTTTCGTTCCCACCTGTTCCGGAACAGAAAAAAAAAGTTTCGAAATGGTTCTTAACTGTTTCATTTGTATGCGAGATTTGAAGGTAAAGAAAGAATAGCGCGATTATTTAAAAGAAAGACACAGGTAAAACATGCTATTTTCATGTTCTCCAGAAAAGCACAAGTCACTGTACGACACATTCCAAAAACTAGTGCGATCCGGTACCCTTTTAAATCACAGCACCTATTTACTCAAAAGGGAATCAGGAATTTCTTCTAGCGGGCTTGGTGCCTTGTGTCAAGGGAGTGAGCATGATCTCGGAAGCCGCACTTCATCGAGTGTGCAAGAGCGCTGTTCTGGTAAAACAAACTTCGGCATAGATAATGCTTTTTTAACGCTTGCAAGCCTGACAGGCGCACGAAATTGCACTTGTGTTAATGTAAACACTCCTGGTTGCCCCTTGTTTTCGTTTTTCGCACCATTTCAGCGCACCTTCATTTTGGTTTCCTCCCTGACATACGCGATATTACTGTATTCCGAGATATGTATTATTGATCATGTTGCATGACATAGTTCTAGATCGCAAAGTTTTTCCGCGAACCGAAATACGGTTGAAAAAATTTTGTTTTCACTCTAAAAGAAAATAGTGAATATCGCCTCAGTGACGTTTTCGTTTCGGTCAAAGACCCAAAAAGCTTGCGACGTGCCAGGGTGCATGCGCAGAACACAAAACAATGTTGGGCTTTTGCATTCGTGCTGACCCAAGGCTGAAAACCTTTTAGGGGCGAATCTTCTTATGGCGTGGCTTGTGCGTCCCTCGTAGTAGGGAACAACCAGTGGCACATACCCGAAATAGCGGTCCTCACGATTTTGACCTCCAAGGTGGTTCCGGTGAGAGATTTCTTCTGGGGGTTGTTGAACAATAAAAGATAGTGCTCAATGCACATGTTAATGGATTCTAAGGGGGAATGAGAGACAGGAGCATTCGGCCTTTAGGTAACGCAAATGCTGCGATCCCCATTAGAAGCTATTGGCATGTACATTGAGCACGATCTGACAAGAAAGGGTTGCTACGTTATACTCGCTGGGTGTAACCTCCTTGGTTTTAGAAAGGTTTAGCGAGTGTTGGGCCGCATAGCCATGAATACAGTGAACCAGTATATACCATGAACTCGAGGTGGTTAAAGGTGGGAAGTAAACCCGAAGCGCAAGCCGTAAGAAAGTGTGCATGTGCCACCTCCCGTTTAGTCCTTGAAATGTCCGCTGGATGGCGGTGCTTCTATATGGGGTATATATGATGAAAAGATGCGAGATGGTGGTACTTGGAGTGCTGAATAGATGGACGAACGGACACACAGACAGATGCATGGATGGACGCATGAACGGACGCAGGCGCGAATGCATGGACGAACGCAGGGACGGACGCACGAACAGACGCACGCATGGACGGGTGGATGGACGCATGGACGGTTACACAGACGTACGCAGGAACGGACGGAAGCAAGAACGAATGGACGGACGAATGCTTCGCCCCACTCCCCATCATTCACTCCGTGGATATGCTGCCATTTTTTTGTTCAGCACTACCAAAGCTATGGGGTGTGAGAAAGCAACATAGTTGCGCAGAAAAACATAGTCCCAGATAAATTAAGTGCCTTAAAATTGACCGGGTTGACTAAAATTGGCGTTTGTTTGGTGTATGTTACTCCACATCATTGTGTGATACGCTTATTGTTCGCATTTAGTTCGTAGTCATGAAATTATTTTTCTCTCCTACCCCCAGTAACTGCGTTTGCAAATCAACATGGCAGCATCCATGCAGACGAGCAACTCAGCCGTTGTTACTAACACAGTGGAACTGCAGAGGTCTCAAGAACCACAAGAAGCGGGCTCATTTCCGCCTCTATCTTGAGACCTTTGAGTTCCTTGTTGCCGTGGTTGCCCTTCAGGAACCCGGCTCGTACGTCAAACTCACAAATTACACTACATTTCAACACAACCCGGAGACATGTATACTTGTTCACAAGCAATATACCGCCCAGGAAGTCACACTCCCCACAACACCGCCTTTCCCATACACAATGGTGTCGGTGCTGCCTATAAGGCGATCTGACCCACCTGTTCATATTCTAAACATTTACTGTCCCCCAAAGTTTAAGAACGTCACGTTCAGCGAAACTTTCACACAAGCTATGCAGGTGGCAGGACGGGACCCCCTCCTGATTGTCGGCGACTTCAATGCCCCAAGCAGGTTATGGGGTTACCCACGAGAGGACACGCGTGGAAGGAAGCTTGCGGAACTTCTTTCTACACTTGGACTCACCCTCCACACTGATCCCGCCAGCCCAACACGTGTAGGCAACTCTGTTCAACGAGATACTTGCCCGGACCTCACAATTACACGCAACATACGCCATGCCGACTGGCTGAACACACAGGACACTCTCAGTAGTGATCATTGTGTATTAAACACAACTGTGTACATGCGTTCCTTAAAACGCCCACTTACACAAGCTCGTATCCCAGACTGGACAACTTTCCGCACCACTCTACCTATTGTAGACCCTCTCCAGTCGGGATACGACACCTGGTCTAAATCACTGACGTCTACACTGAAACAACACGAACAGCTGATACAGCTCACGGAAACTCAAACGGACGTGGACAACCACCTCCTCCATCTTTGGCAGGCCCGCCGCAGCCTCACCAAACGATGGAAAAAACAGAAACATAACAGACGCCTCAAGAAACGCATCCTAGAACTCACGGAGCAAGCTGCGGAATATGCTGCTCAGCTAGCCGACACTAACTGGGTGGACAGGTGCAACACGGCTGCACGCCAGATGTCTGGTCGCAACACGTGGCGCCTGTTTCGCGCTCTCATCGATCCAACACAAACACGCACGGAAACTCAACGTCACTTACATAAGGTCATGCACAACTTTACAGGAACGACAACACAGCTGGCAAACACGCTCAGGGACCGATACCTGTGCACCACCAAGGACCCCCGGACGGCCGCATACTCCTACGCAGGCAAAAAGAACACGCAGTTGGACACCCCGTTCCAGCTCCACGACCTCCAGGCGGCCTTACGCAAGATGAAGCGTGGCACTGCACCAGGGCGTGACCAGGTTACGGTCAAACTGTTGGCCAATCTTCCCGACGCAGCCTACGCCACGCTCCTCAAATACATCAATAGCATTTGGGACGGAGAAACTCCTCTCCCTCTTGAATGGAAATCAGCTCTCGTGACCTTCATCCCGAAGGCAGGTAAACCTATTGACGTGGAGAACCTTCGCCCCATCTCCCTCACGTCTTGTGTCGGCAAGCTGATGGAAACGATGGTGCGCGACAGACTCTCCGAGTTTCTAGAAAAACAGCACACTTTTGCGGACACCATGTTTGGATTCCGCCCTCAGAAGTCAGCCCAGGATATACTTCTACAGCTCCACCATGACATATTAGATCCTGTTGAATGCCCCCACAATGACAAGGTAGTCCTGGCCTTGGATCTTAAAGGAGCATTCGACAACGTGAAGCATGAGGTAATCCTTGACCACCTCAGTCAGACCAACTGTGGTTATAAAACATTCAATTATGTTAGACAGTTTCTTACAGACCGTCGAGCCTACATACGCATACAAGATGAGGAACATGGGCCTTACGTCATCGGCTCGAGGGGAACTCCTCAAGGCGCGGTCCTCTCTCCTCTCCTATTTAATATAGCCATGCTTCATCTTCCCCCCAAATTGGCTTCTTTACCAGGGATACATCACGCTCTTTACGCGGATGATATCACGATCTGGGCCACGCAAGGTAACCTGGGTCACATGGAGTCATGCCTGCAAGCAGCAGCGACTGTAGTCGACGACTACGCAACCTACTGCGCACTCCAGTGTGCCCCGGCTAAGTCAGAATTTGTGCACGTACGTCCCTCCCCTCAGGACACAACTCAGCTCCATATCAGTCTTCCCTCGGGACCGATCCGTGAGGCCAAGGAGACCCGCGTCCTTGGCCTCTTCATACACCACCAACGCAAGGCCGACACCACAATAGCCAAACTTCACACGGTGGGAGACCAGGTGGGCCGTATGGTCCGCCGGGTCTCCAACAAGCGGGGCGGATTACGAAGCAGGGATGCAATGCGGCTTGCCTATGCTTTCGTAACGAGTAGAATACTCTACTCGACTCCCTACTTGCACCTACGCAAACACGAGGATGATCAACTCGAGGTCATCCACCGTAAAGTTATCAAGCGGGCTCTCGACCTCCCTATCACCACGTCCAACCAGAGACTTCTGGCCCTAGGCGTGGTGAATACCTACCGGGAACTTCGAGAAGCCCACCTCGTTAACCAATACACGCGCCTTGCACAGACCCATTCCGGTCGCCGCCTCATGGACCGAATACACATCAAACACGATTACTATATTGAGGAAAGGGTGAGAGTGCCAGAACCTTGGAGACGCGCCCTCCGGGTCCGACCCCTTCCCCGCAACATGTCCAAAGAAAACCACAGTGGTCGCCGCCAGGCGCGCGCGGAAGCGTTGCAGCGACACTTTGGTCAAGAGGAACACGTGTGCTACGTGGACGTTGCCGGCCCGCACCATGGGGGGTGGTATACTGCCGCAGTCATACACAACGCAAACACCGTAAACGGGCTCACTTTCAAAGCCTACAGCGCAACACACGCGGAGGAGGTTGCCATCGCTCTGGCTCTCACCTATCCCTCTTCTAAACATATCATCACCGACTCACGAGGGGCCTGTCGGAACTATCAGCTAGGGTGGGCTTCACCGCTTGCTCAGCGCATACTGGAACCTAGCTGCCGATACGTTAATCCAACTCCGCGAAATCTGGTTTGGGCACCCGGTCACCAAGGACTCAGGGGTAACGAACAGGCCGATCAGGCCGCCCGCGCACTCTCTCCCCGGGCTATCTCCCTGTCTTTGGAAGCCTACTCGCAATCAGACAATTCGGCCCTTTCATTCAAAGATATTACCAATTACTACAAGGAGGAGCACCGGCGCTATCCAGACCCTTGTAAGGGACTGCATCGCGCTGACGAGCGCCTCCTTTTAAAACTGTTTACCAATACTGTACTGTGCCCGGCGGTGCTAAAACATTTCAATTCATCCTTTGATGGCACGTGCCAGTTCTGTGGTGAGGTGGCTGACACCTTTCACATCGTCTGGGCGTGCCAGTCTAATCCATCTATCCCCCCCAACCCCAATCCCACGAGAGAGGACTGGGAGGCGGCCCTGCTCGGCTGTCAAGACCTGAAGGCCCAAGAGGCTCTGGTTCAACGTGCGCGGGCGGCGTTGCTTGCCAATGGAGCCCCGGAATAGGGGTTCCACCTAGTGCTGTGAGGGTAGGAGGCCAATAAGGCCCCAACCCAATCACCTCTCTGTAACCATTTAATGGTTATTAAATGTTTTCACCACCCCACCCATGCAGACACGACCGCCCGCTTCGATCCGATCTTGCTCTTGCTACACGCCCACTGCGCTGACAGCAACAAATGAATGGTGAAATCCGCCATCGATTTGTTTCATCTTACTCTGAGGGTAAGACATCAGGTACATGCCTATATTAGCGAGATATGCTGCTTGCTTAGCCGGACGTGCTAAGAGTAACGCGCCAAGGCATGGCTTGGGCCAAGACCAAGAACGCTGCATCTTCGAACATCGGACATGCAACATGGCACAGCGTTTCGTGCGCATCGGATCCTCGTTCGATGGAGAGGTGTCTGGAGTGAGACGCTGTGCGGACGTGTTTCGCATGAGCTCCGGCCCGGTGACCGACTATCGGCGGACGCGCTTTTTTCTGGACTTGATGTCAGTGGGCTCGTCTGCAGGAGGTTGCCCTGTACCTACGGACACCACTCGTTTAGGGCAAGTTTGTCCCCGTTTTTGGAGTTTCCGAGATTTTCCTATCAACCCCGCGGTGGCAAGGCTAGGCCTATCTCCGAGGCCAAGCCTGGCCTGGGCCGCGTCGCCCGGCGTCTGACTTGCGTCTGGTGACCGTGGGTCTTGTTGGGCTGAAGATGGAGTACTACGTCGAAGGGGAGACTATAACACCCGAAGATTTTGAAGCGGGAGAGTGGGCTCCAGTGCTGAAGGCACAGAACCGATTTAAGAAGACTCAGCATGGCGACAACGCCAAGAGTAAGCCTTGCGAGAGGCAGGCCGGCAGCGACGGGCGCAAGACGCACGGAGCACAGCAAGTCAAGCGGGGGAAAGCGCCGGTATGGAAGAAACGCGGACCGTTTCTCAAGTTGCCAGCCACGGATTTCAAGATTGTGTACGAACCCAGAACTGGGACTTGAGTGTTGTGACAGCGAGAGAACTCGGATGTGCACTGAGAGCAGCAGCGCGTCTAACGAGTGCGATTGCCGCGGAAGAAGACATTGTGCGGGTTAATGGCACAAACAACACGTTGACGGTGAGCACACCGTGCATAAATCGCAGTGGGGCATATGCGACTGTGAAGACGCTCAAGCTGGGTGATCGTGACCTGCCGGTTTCGGCGTTCGCGGCGCCGTTAGAGAACTCCGTGCGGGGAGTGATTTATAATGCTTATGATGGATGCCCAGTGGAAGAAGTTCGGGCGGGATTCCTGAAGAAGAATGAAGGCATAGACATTCTGGACGTGAGATCTCTGAGAAAGTCAAAGGCGATTCAGATTACGTTCGGGGGAAAACGCATACCCCGGCAGATTACTTACTGGAACTGTCTGTACGCTGTGATCCCGTACAGAAATTTAGTCGAGACCTGCTACAACTGCAGACGAGTTGGACATCGAGCGGACGTTTGCTATCGTCCGAAGAGCAACCTATGTCACCGTTGCGGGAAGGACCATCCTGCCCCGCTAGAAGGAGAGCCACCTACGTGCCCGCCGGACTGCAACGTGTGCCATGGTGCGCATCACACAGGGAGCCGGAACTGCAAGTTTCGCCTGGCTCGCAAGCCACCGACAGGCCGGCAGCAGAGCATCGAATGAGAAAGCGAAGCTGGCAACGATAAGCGGTCCTCGAGGGCCACGGAGCAGTCACCGAGGGGTAAAGAAGGCAGAAGCAAAAGCAGGGACCGGTTGAGTTCCTTCCCGCCATTGCCAGGGCGCGGGGGCGGCCAAGATGGTGGACGAGCATCCAGTACTAACAGCTGCGCACGCGACACCAACAAAAAGGTGAGCTTGTCAAGCACGGCCTCCCAGAACGAAACCGCTCGAGAGAAGGAGTTAGCAGCGCTAGTTCAGCGACAGGGAGACTTAATTAAAAGAATGGAAAACAGAATTGCAGAGATGGAACGCGCACTTAGAAACGACCAACGGCAGGGGACACAGGCACCAGCAGTGCAAGGCCTACAGAAAGCGACGCAAGAGGCGTCTGCTCGCGTACAAGAGAGTGCAGCTATGGAAGTGGAGAATCGGGGGACAGTGACGAGACCACTGCCGGGGGATGAGGCAGCTAACGCAAAACGATTAGCCGAAACGTCACCAGTAGACATGCCACAGCCTGTTTTTAAGGTAATTAGTCTTAAGTCAGATGTAACAACACTTGCGGATAAAGTAGGCAAACAAGGGAAAAGACAGGATAGGTTGGAGGCTCGAGTCGAAAAGATCGAAGCCAGATTAGACACAATAGAGGAGCGTCTCGGCATGCTCTCTACTGAATTTAGGGATTCCCAAACCCAGGTCATGGGCATGTTTCAGCAACTTCATACTCTATTGGAGGCAAGACTGCCTCCCGTGGGTGGCCAGGTGCCATTAGTCAACCTGGTGCCTCATCATGGCGCCTCGCCAGCAAATTGAGGTTTGGCAGTGGAACTGCAGGGGCTTTCGTCAAAAGCGGGGTAACCTGCACTTGCACGTACAAATCTGGACAGTAAACCAGACATAATAGCCTTACAGGAGGCTAGTGGTTCCGTAAAATTACCTGGATTTAAGGCATTTACAGCTCCAGGAATTGATTCAAGGGGCGTATCACGCGTCTTCACAGCCGTGCTAGTCCATCGCAACATCACTGCCATTCAGCATTCCGTAGATAGCAGCAAGGAAGACAATGTCTTGCTTGAGATTTTGCCTAAACGAAAGTATGAGAAGAGTCTGTTTTTACTTAATGTGTATAGTTCTCCAAAAGATAAAGGATTGGGCTTGCTACAACTCCTGATTCAAACTCAACGGTTAGCAGCTCGCGCTCCGCTTATAGTGGTAGGAGATTTCAATGCGCCTCACCCGGAGTGGGGTTATATTCCAGCCAGCCCAAAGGGCAATCGGCTTTGGCAAGTTGCCCGGGATCTGCGATGGACGCTGTTAAACAATCCACAAGATCATACGAGGATAGGCAACAGCATAAGCATGGATACCTCCCCAGACCTTATGTTTATTAGATGCATCAGTAATGCAAAGTGGATTAACACGGGACAAGCCCTAGGAAGTGATCACTATATCCTTTCCTACGACGTTTAGCGCTGCGAAGCATAAAGACAAAGTGAGGGGCATAGAATTACAGATTGGGACAGATTTAGGAAAAACAGAGCAGACACTGTAAACGGGAAAATTAATGACCTGGATGCATGGGTACAGGCGCTCAAGAAGGATGTAAATAATACCACGGTAGAAGTGCCAGTCGAGCAGGAGGAGTTTACCGCTGACTCGAGACTATTACAAATGTGGGAAGCGCACGCGAGTCTCTTGAGAAGGTGGAAGAAGCAAAAACATAATGGCGTCCTTCGCAGAAGGACGGCCAAGTTAGAACGTAAAATCAAAAATTATACAATTGAGTTGCAAGCCAAGCAGTGGGGCCAGATTTGTGATCGCACGAATGGACAGTTTGGATGCAAAAAGACATGGCAGCTGTTAAGGCATCTTTTGGATCCGGCAGCAACAAAATCGGCGCAACGTGGGCAAATGACTAGGTTAATGCATCAATATGAAGGCACAATTGGAGAGTTTATACAGGAACTCCGGAATCGGTACATAACTGATGGAGTAGACGGTTGCTTACCACACCACTTGGGGGTGGAAAACTCAGACCTAGATGAAGAATTGCGGAGGTGGAGTTTGCCATGGGGCAGCTGCGTACTACGTCTGCCGCAGGTCCGGATGCAGTTACTAATAAAATGCTGAGAAACCTAGATTTCAAATCGGTCGGGGCGATCACTGACTCAATGAATGAGTATTGGCTGGCCGGGGAGATCCCCGCACAATGGAAGCATGCTAGGATTATATTTATTCCGAAGCCAGGCAAGAAACTCTGCTTGGAAAACCTGCGCCCCATATCGCTGACATCATGCGTGAGCAAATTGATGGAGCACGTGGTTCTCAACAGGCTTCAGAATTATGCAGAGGACAAGGCCATCTTTTCCCTAACTATGATAGGTTTCAGGGCCAAGTTGTCCACACAGGATGTCATGATACAGTCAAAACATGATGTAGTCAATCCCGGGCATGGCACGGGCACCAAAGCTGTATTGGGGCTTGACCTGAATAAAGCTTTCGACAATGTTTCGCATGAGGCAATATTGAATAACCTATCGGAAATTGGCCCAGGGGTCAGGACATTTCGCTACATCAGATCATTCTTGGAGAGCCGAACCGCAGAAATTTCAATAGGAGATATCAAATCGGACTCATTCGCGTTGGGAGGCAAAGGGACGCCGCAGGGTTCAGTTTTGTCACCGTTCCTGTTTAACATCGCCTTAATTAAAATACCGCCGAGGCTGGCTGGAGGAGATACCGGGACTCAAACACACATTTTATGAAGATGATATTACTCTATGGATAACCAGGGGTAGTGACGCGCATCTGGAAGAAACACTTCAACAGGCAGTTAATATTGTCGAAGAGTTGGCAGGGGAGGTGGGACTTTCATGCTCTCAGCCAAAGTCCGAGCTCTTTGTGGTTCGGGACAAACCCAGAGGGCTACATGCAAGACACTATATTCCGCCACCACCGTTAGAGGTAAAGGTAGGGGGTAGGCCGGTAGCTGAAGCTCAAACGATTAGAATTCTCGGCCTATGTCTGCAAACTAACAGGAAGAATAGGGTGGCCCTTGAAAAACTTAAGACCACGGTCAATGCTACTGTCAGGCTAATCAGAAGAATCGCTAACCGTAAGAGCGGGGTTAAAGAAAAAGAACTCTGTAAGCTGGTACAGGCATTTGTGCTCAGCAGGATTACTTACGCGACACCTTATATGAAGTTGGATGCCGCAGAAAAAGGTAAAGTCGAGGCTATGATCCGGCAAGCTTACAAGGCAGCGCTTGGGTTGCCTAACAACGCGCCTACAGAAAGGCTGTTAGAACTAGGGGCAACACCCTGGATGAATTATGGGAGGCGCATCTGGTGATGCAGCACGCTATAGGCTTTCGACAACCAAAGCGGGCAGGATTATATTGGAAAGGATTGGCAATGGAGCAGAGGCTCCCACTGGGGACACTAAAATTCAGGCGCGGCGAGAGTTACATAAGGCCCTGTGCATAAAACCTTTGCCCAAAAATATGCATCCGATTCACCATACGCAGCGCAGGCAGGCAAGAGCCAGAGCTTTACACGTTGAGTACGGCGAGTACAAAGCGGCAGTCTATACAGATGTTGCGGAATATAAGGACAAAGACGCTTTTGTGATTGTGGTGGTGGACAGGCGGGGGCGCTTGGTCGCCTTTGGATCGGTCAAAACCCGCTCCTCGGAAACTGCAGAGGAAGCGGCAATAGCGCTAGCTATAAATAATTCGCAGTCAGATTGGATTTTCAGTGATTCAAAGACAGCCATCCGAAATCTGGCGAGGGGCAGAATATCGGTGACCGCCGCACGATTTCTGCATGGGGCCACGGGACGAGAAATGAGAGAAATAGAAATTGTCTGGGTACCAGCACACTCTGGGAACCCTGGGAACGAGGCGGCTCACCTGAATGCTCGAGGTTTCGTCAGCCGGGTAGGTGAGCCGCCAGTTCCGGGGAGGTCCGCGAGAGATGGGCTGGTGTCCTTTCATGACATAACGAATCATTATAACTAGAGCGGAGGTTTTATCCGCCCCCGCACAAGCGGTTGACTAAGGCGCAGGAATGCGTCTGGAGAAAACTGCAGACGCGATCTTTTCCCAACCCTTACGTGTTGAACAAAATGTAACCAGAGGAGAATAAGCCGCAATGCAAATGGTGTCTGGCTGTGGCAACATATGTTCACATACTTTGGGAATGTAGCATAGTGCCGCCGCCGGTGGATATTATGCGTGATCCTTCTCATGAGCACTGGGAGGCCGTGTTGACCAGCTCAGACCCAGTCGTCCAGTTAAGGGTCGTGGAGTGGGCCACACAGGTCGCCGCCAACCTTGGGTTGATGGCCATCTAACACGGAATCATCCTCAGTTGCTTTCTGACGAAATAAAGTTTTTCCATCCATCCATCCATCCTTCGATGGAAACAAAAAAAAAAGGAGGGAAAAGAAGCATTGCAGCGGGACACGAGAAGGAACGCGTCGACGTAGAAGCAGTTATACGAGAGTCACGATAAGCGTCGGAGAGAAACGGGCACAAAGTTCAGTTATCCGCCGGCATGAGCGCCTACCGATCTTCAGCATGTAAAACAACAAATCTACGCTTCAAGTTCCTGGCTTGACTGTTGGTTTCACAGTTTTACTGTATATTTAAGTTATTAAACCAGCCTAGCTTATCTTATATTCGGCGAACAGACACCGTAAAGACGGTGAGCAGACGACAAGGCACTAATGAATATATGTGCACAGGCTAATCGTTCTTTCTATTGACTGAAGGGCCCTGTAGCCTCCACATTGCTGAAGGGTGGGGCGCCAAGGCGTCTTAGATCGCCAGCGAGATGAAGCAGACGCAGCGTGAGCCACGGTGCCGTATGGCCCACGTATCGCATAATTTTGAATTTGGCCACGGGTGTCACCCCGTTCGTTTGACCCTATGCAGCCTATGTTTGACCCAGTTCTCAAACTCTTCTGATCCTGCGAACGCAAGAGCAACCTACGCAACCTAGCTGGGGTCCCCAGTTCACAAACTCTATATTAACGTGATGCCCCACCACTATGCGATGCACCTACTCGAGTCGCGATGCATTTACCCGCTCGTGCCACGCGCATTTGTTTTGTGACGTTGTTTTATTATGCATCATGCAACAGACTGCCACCAGACACTCAGGGCGTGTACGACGTCCAATTGTCTTGACATGCGTTATCAAGGTGAAAGCCTGAAATACCTCGTCAAACACAAAAACTTACCGTTGGTATCGGCGCCCCGCGGCGTTGAGGACAACGCGAGTGATAAAAAAAGTCGTCATCGCATAATGTCGTCACCACACGACGTCAACATGACGTCATACACGTACGTGCACACACACACCCACTCACACAAGCGCACATGCGCGCGCGCGATGGTAAAACTGTATTTTATCGCCATTGAGATTCCTATACTGAGACTGTGCCTCGCCCTTGAGATGAAATTATTTGAGAGTCAGTGTCCAATTTCAATGCAGGAGCTGGCGACGGAAGCTTGCACGTGCAGCCGCAGGAGGGCTACGGCTCGATGCTGGACGCCCAGGAGAGCATCGAAGAGGACATGTTCCAGCAGCCCACGTGGTGGGACACTAAGACCAAGCAGCTCGGTTACCTGCTGCCCTTTCTCAGGGCACACCCCGGACCAGCCACCGACAGCTCGGGCATGAAGGTACAGAACGAAGCACTCTTAAATAGAACATCGGAGAACGTAATGGCCGCTCAGTGCCGCCGCTGGCTGGCGGCTGCAAGCGAAAAGGCAAAGTGTAAGCACTGTGCGCCGTGCTCTTTGGTTTCGTGAATAGTTCCATTTTCGACAATTCAACTGACGCTAGCAGACAACGATAAAGCGCTATTGAAACCGTGCATTGCACCTGCGCGGAACTCTTTGTAGCTACTAAGGTTCCCCATGAGATTCCTTCATGATGCAGCCGTCGGCCGATGGTGGCGCCGAGCGGCTGGTGTGTATGCCTGCGCGAGGGATCACGCAGACGGGTTCTTACTTGTAGGTCTTCGCAGAATGTCCCTCATGATGGTACAGTAGTTATGATGCTCGGCCGTTAAACCATTTATCGCGGGTTTGATCTCGGCCATGTCGGTCGCATTTCGGTAGATGCGAATTGTTATACATGCCTGTGGAATGTGCGTTAAAAAACGCCTAATAGTCAGAATTTTCATAGTAAAGGGCTTCAGAAATTTTGGCTATACCGAATTCGGAGCTCTCCAATATGGCGTGCCTTATGTAATGTTGTTTTGGACCGTGAAACTAGATGAATTAAGCTGGAAGCCTGAGATACGTCATCAATTGCGAAATGTAACCATTGACAGTGACAACATGAGTCATTCAAAAAACCTTAGAATATTGCGATGTCAACATATGACATCACCATGTTGTAACGCGTTTTCAACAGTTGTGAGGTCACATGATGAAGTCATATAGCATGACACCCGGAGGGTGCTCATAACCAGGTTAGATGCGTAAAGTTTTCGGGCTGTATCAATACGTATGATTGACTGCGAAGAAACAAATGTGTTTCGCCTTCCAATTGTCTTACGCGAATTCATAAGGGACGGTGTGGCTCCCTATGCATATTAGATCTTGGCAGAAGGAAAGATTGCCTAGGCGAGGCACTAGTCAAGGCATGTGCATTGGAGAAAGGACGGCGGTCAAGTCGTTTCTCCGCGAAGAAGTATCGCTGGCATAGACGGGCACAAACGGATCCGCGTAGCTCTCGTTCTTCGCAGATTCCGGAGAGTTAGACAACTGTTTTTCCTACGGTATTTTGTCGCTATACGTTCTGTTCGTGACTCAGGTTGTGCTTGCAGTGCAGTAGACGATCTTCAAAATAGTGTTCTGAACACGCGAGCGACGAGTGTCAGTGCAAGGGCACATGCCATGCAAGCTAAAACCAGCCTAACCTGCAATCGCAGCCCGGGTCCTCGTCGTCTTCTAAGGGTCACGGAAAGTCTCCGGGCACTCCTGCTTGAAGAAGATAGTGGGTGACGTAACGTTTTCTCTGTGTTGTACGGAAGCCTCCACGAAGATGTGGCTCTGGCGAAGGACAAAGAAAGTGTAATAACGTGATTATCAGTTTTCTTCTAAATTAAACTAAATTGGTGTTTTCCATACGTTAGATGCACAAAGTTTGTTGCTGTTATGACGCCCTTATATTTTCTTGTCGCACGTACCTATAGAGCATAATTTTTTGCGCGTACTTGATAGGTATGCTGTAAGTCTTACGTTGTTCAACTGTTAACTGCAGCAAAGGGTATTAAATATATCTGGTCTTACATACACCAAACTATTATAGCTGGCAATATGCATTTGACGTCCTCGTACCTTCCGCTGACTATATGTGTGCTGTGCTTCTCAAACCAGTCGAAGAGCAACGCGCAGATAGAGACTTCATAGCATCGCAGTGCGGTGATGCAGTACTCTCGACAGATATGTTAACTGCTAATCCCACTACTCAAGTGCGAAGATATCAGAAAGAGAAACCCAAAGCGAGTGAAGAGAACGGAAAGGGTAACGAGGGTTTAGAGATTATGCCGGGGATCTTAACGACAAATGAATTGATAGCGCTTCAGTTTGGGCACGTTGGCGCCGCATCCGCAATGTTGATTCCGCATGGGAGACACACGAACACAAGCACACCCGGATACAGTATTGGTACTGTGTGCGCGCGTGTTTTCTGGTCCTCGTCTTTCATGCTGTTAACCTGGCGGGACACTTAACAGACCGGGTGTAGTAACCAAACGTGAGTGAAGTCATCCCGCGCGAATGCTGGAAATAATTAGCTTATGTTACTGGTCCTATTCCCGTGGTAGAAAGGGTGGTCCTAGTGCATTTGCCTTCGTTTCCGTGACAGAAATGACGCTGTAAATTCTCGGGGGTGGGAGCCACACACTGTTGCTCTCGTGCAAACGCCTGCAGGTGATGAAGCTGGTGGGCCTGCTGTACGTGTTCGCGATCGCCTTCGACCTTGTGATCGTGTGCGGCGTCGGGGCCCTGGAACGGGGCAACGGCTTCGTGCTTGTCTTTCTGTTCGCCTGCTTGGCGGGAATACTCACCTCCGTCTTCCTCATCGCCATGGAGCCACAGGCCAAGTAAGACAACGCGCCTCGGTGTTTCCAGAGGCGAACGTACGAGTGGGTTTCTCGTAACTATAATACACGTGTTATTCTTAAGAATTTTTCGAGGGACTTATTTCTGTTTTAGGCACAACTGACTGAATCTAACTAACAATTAGGCCACCAACAGACCTTTGAATTCAGTTCAACACCACTATCTGTCTTTTGTTGCCATTCTTTTTACACATTTCCCTGGTGTGTGTAAAAATAATCTTTGCGCAAGAATACACAAGGCTTATGTGACACATGTACATTTGTGCATTTATTTCGTTGACTAAAAGGGAAGTTCATAAACAAGTATTTATTTTCGCACGCGCATGTACCGGGTCTTACGTAAAATGCCTGCTGCTTTCAAAGGGGCCTTTGGGCTCTCTCAAGATCTCTCCGACATCCTTTCCTATAAGGACCTCTGACCTGAAATTGCTCGAAATGAACTTGCCTTGACAACAATCCAATGAATCCAACAGTCAAATAAGCCACGGAAGTCGTTGGGGGCATTAACTTTTATTTTTAATGGCAGTGTCGTTGCCTAATCATGACGCAGATTGAAACTAAATAAAAGGAACGAGAACTCACCCTTTCCATCGGTGTGATCCGAACCGACGACCTTGCATGCTTACGAGTTCGAATAGCTTCATGCGGAAAGGGTGCTTTTTCGTGCACTTTTACTCATTTCAATCTACGTCATAATTTCGATTTCCAGTTAACGCAAGAAGTAAACGAGAGATAATTCAGGCAAAACAAATTCAAAAATAGAAAAACAAACGTGTCATGTCTCTTCCGGTGTCTTGCAACCACATTCTGCTGTGCACATGTCTTGCAATGTTTATCAAAACCTGGTGTTTGTTTCGGCGTTTTTATCTTCATGTTCTTTCCAGTTTTTTTTTGTTATCTTCATCGTATTCACTGCTGCCAGTGCACACATGCGTGTTCTCCTACATAAACCGGGTCTTTCGACAATAAATCGCAAGGTGCAGTACAGCACTTGTGTTTGCGTCGTTTTGTGTGTACGTGTTTTTGCAATTTCGCGCGCTGCTTTTTCGAGAATCGTGAAATTAAGAAGTGTCAAAAGACTCGTGATCCGCTGCTGTGGTGACCATCTCTCTCCGAGTACCTATACACTGTGCACCCTCTTCCCGCAGGTGCGACCTGAAGTTCAAGGCTCCCGGCGTGCCTTTAGTGCCGGCAATCGCTGTCGTAGTCAACATCTACCTAATCTTCAAGCTTTCTGTGCTCACGCTGGTGCGGTTCGTGGTGTGGATGGTACTAGGTAAGGGCACTGTTAGCAGCCATATACGCACACTCGACCAAATGTTTAGCAATCGCGCATGAGTTGCAGTTTTTTTTGTGTGTTTTTCCATACGATTGAATCAAGTTTGAGTTGAATTAAGGACACATGTGTGCCCATAAAGCACAAGTCAACAATACGATTTTTTGTAACGTCGTTTCATAATGTGGCGGTGGAATACAAAAAGGGGGCCACTGCGCACAATAGCTGAAGTTTTGGCTGCTGTACATCATCTTGGCAGCCTATATGCTGTGGAAGGTGTACTGCGAAGTGTGAGGACGGACGGGGTTTCGATTCTCGGCAAGCTCTGCTCGAGCTATGCAGTTTTTTTCTCTGTATGTTTTCCATACGATTGAATTAGCTGCCAGTTGAAGTAAGGACACATGTTTGCTCATAAAGCACATGTCAAAGAAACAATTTTTTGTAACGTCGTTTCGTAATATGGCGGTGGAATACAAAAAGGGGGCCACTGCGCACAATAGCTGAAGTTTTGGCTGCTGTACATCATCTTGGCAGCCTATATGCTGTGGAAGGTGTACTGCGAAGTGTGAGGACGGACGGGGTTTTGATTCTCGGCAAGCTCTGCTCGAGCTATGCAGTTTTTTTCTCTGTATGTTTTCCATACGATTGAATTAGGTGCCAGTTGAAGTAAGGACACATGTTTGCTCATAAAGCACATGTCAAAGAAACAATTTTTTGTAACGTCGTTTCATAATGTGGCGGTGGAATACAAAAAGGGGGCCACTGCGCACAATAGCTGAAGTTTTGGCTGCTGTACATCATCTTGGCAGCCTATATGCTGTGGAAGGTGTACTGCGAAGTGTGAGGACGGACGGGGTTTCGATTCTCGGCAAGCTCTGCTCGAGCTATGCAGTTTTTTTCTCTGTATGTTTTCCATACGATTGAATTAGGTGCCAGTTGAAGTAAGGACACATGTTGCTCATAAAGCACATGTCAAAGAAACAATTTTTTGTAACGTCGTTTCATAATGTGGCGGTGGAATACAAAAAGGGGGCCACTGCGCACAATAGCTGAAGTTTTGGCTGCTGTACATCATCTTGGCAGCTTAGATGCTGTGGAAGGTGTACTGCGAAGTGCGAGGACGGACGGGGTTTCGATTCTCGGCAAGCGCCACTCGAGCTATGCTAGTGAAAAACGCCGTAATAGAACGTTGAAGTGTTAACTTTGTAGACATGCGTGTCCTGTTTCCCTTTTCGACACGCAGGGATGTTGATGTACTTCTTCTATGGCATCAAGCAGAGCAACCTAGAGTCCCTGATGGAAGAACGCATCGAACTCAAGATACCGACGCAGGGTTTCACCCTGCAGGCGCCACCAGCGCCGCCGCAGCAGCGGCAGCAACCGCCAACGGCTCAGGAGATCAGCGCCAAGCTCGCCGACGTGGCCAATGGCCGACCGCTTCCGGTGCCTCCGAGACCCTACGACCAGCAGGAAGAACAAGAAGTCAGGCAACGCTGGCAGACCTTCGAGTAGGGACTGGAGAGCGCGCCCTCTTCAGTCGACAGCGTGGCACTGTGTGTCACCGCAGCACTGGCGATAGGGTTAATCTACAATTTTTTTCGTTTTCCTGCGCTGTCCTCTACCATTGTGGTAGGGTTTTGTTAAGGGCCGGTATCGCCAGAAAGAAGGCCTTCGAGATTGGGCGACGTTTCGCGATTTTCCCACTCGGGGAAGGGTGCGTACGCTGTGGCATCGTGAAAAAAGGGGATTGCATGTCTGCAGCATCCGTTCGAAAGGCTTGGGAAACTATCGTGCCTGCCACGTTGTATGTGAGATGCACCTTTTTTCCTCCCGCTGTCGCCAACTGGTATTTAATTATCTCAAGCAGCATGTGTTATGAAAAAGGAAGTTCGTAGCTGGAAAGTTAAAGAAGCTTTAGGCGTGGGTCCTGACAAAAGCTGTTTGCGGGCCCCTGCGGGGCGGGACACTGTGCTTTAGTGCTTCTAAGCTTAAAGAAAAAAAATCGGGCGTGATCTGATTTTTCTTTTTTTTTAATTTTTCGCAGTGTGGGTCACCGAAGGTTTCACTGTGATCCTCTAAAACGTGTTTGTTCGGGGACGTCGTTTCATAATGTGGCGGTGGAATACAAAAAGGGGGCCACTGCGCACAATAGCTGAAGTTTTGGCTGCTGTACATCATCTTGGCAGCCTATATGCTGTGGAAGGTGTACTGCGAAGTGTGAGGACGGACGGGGTTTCGATTCTCGGCAAGCTCTGCTCGAGCTATGCAGTTTTTTTCTCTGTATGTTTTCCATACGATTGAATTAGGTGCCAGTTGAAGTAAGGACACATGTTTGCTCATAAAGCACATGTCAAAGAAACAATTTTTTGTAACGTCGTTTCATAATGTGGCGGTGGAATACAAAAAGGGGGCCACTGCGCACAATAGCTGAAGTTTTGGCTGCTGTACATCATCTTGGCAGCCTATATGCTGTGGAAGGTGTACTGCGAAGTGTGAGGACGGACGGGGTTTCGATTCTCGGCAAGCTCTGCTCGAGCTATGCAGTTTTTTTCTCTGTATGTTTTCCATACGATTGAATTAGGTGCCAGTTGAAGTAAGGACACATGTTTGCTCATAAAGCACATGTCAAAGAAACAATGTTTTGTAACGTCGTTTCATAATATGGCGCTGGCAGACAAAAAAGGGGGCCGCTGCGCATGATAGGCGAAGTTTTGGCCGGCTGTACATCATCATGGCAGCTTAGATGCTGTTGGAAATGTACTGAGAAGTGCGAGGTCGGGGTTTCGACTCTCGGCAAGCACCGCTCGAGCTATGCTAGTGAAAAACGCCGTAATACAACGCTGAAGTGTTCACTTTCTAGACATGCATGTCCTGTTCCTGTTTCCCTTTCCGACACGCAGGGATGTTGATGTACTTCATCTACGGCATCAAGCAGAGCAACCTAGAGTCCCTGATGGAAGAACGCATCGAACTCAAGATACCGACGCAGGGTTTCACCCTGCAGGCGCCCCCAGCGCCCCCGCAGCAGCGGCAGCAACCGCCAACGGCACAGGAGATCAGCGCCAAGCTCGCCGACGTGGCCAATGGCCGACCGCTTCCGGTGCCTCCGAGACCCTACGACCAGCAGGAAGAACAAGAAGTCAGGCAACGCTGGCAGACCTTCGAGTAGGGCACGGTGTAAGAACCGTGGAGCAGGGACTGGAGAGCGCGCCCTCTTCAGTCGACACTGTGGCACTGTGTGTCACCGCAGCACTGGCGATAGGGTTAATCTACAATTTTTTTCGTTTTCCTGCGCTGTCCTCTATCATTTTAGTAGGGTTTTGTTAAGGGTCGGTATTGCCAGAAAAAAGGCCTTCGAGATTGGGAGACGTTTCGCGATTTTCCCACACGGGGAAGGGTGCGTACGCTGTGGCATCGTGAAAAAAGGGGATTGCATGTCTGCAGCATCCGTTCAAAAGGCTTGGGAAACTATCGTGCCTGCCACGTTGTATGTGGGATGCACCTTTTTTTTCCCCGCTGTCGCCAACTGGTATTTAATTAGCTCAATCAGCATGTGTTATGAAAAAGAAAGTTCGTAGCCGGAAAGTTAAAGAAGCTTTAGGCGTGCGTACTGACAAAAGCTGTTTGCGGGCCCCTGCGGGGCGGGACACTGTGCTTTAGTGCTTCTAAGCTCAAAAAAAATCGGGCGTGATCTGATTTTTTTTTTTTAATTTCTCGCAGTGTGGGTCACCGAAGGTTTCACTGTGATCCTCTAAAACGTGCTTGTTCGGGGACAGCTCCGGTCTAAGGCGCTGCACTGACGGCTTCGAAACTTCGAAAACTTTTTTTAGCACACCACGAAGGGTATAAAGGAACTGACTCTCTCGGTAAACTATTAGCTGATGCCCTGGTAACTGAATGTTTATGAATTTAAGCGATTTCCCAGCTTTGCCGTTTTGCATTTGAATCTATAGCATGTTATTAGTTCCTAACCGATTCGGTCGACTTCGTGCCGCGTGGGCACAACCGCAAACAACCGGCGCTAAGCGTGTGCAATGACACAGCTCTCTCACCTTTTCTCTAAACATGTGGCTCTTGCAGTGCGCGAATTTTCAGCATGGACGGCTTTTTGTGTGTGTAGACCGAATACGCGTGGTCCCAGTACGTGTGGACCTTTCAGGACACACGTGATAAGAAGATCGCAATCAAAGCTGCAACGGCCTGCAATGAGCTCGGCAGCGGGCGCTGACAACTCCCGCCGTTCACATATCCGTTATAAAAACCACGTTCTCTGGCATCGCTAAAAGCGCCCGTACAGCCACGGCTAAAAAATAATAATAAATAATGTCAGCGGAATGGGCGATCACGTCGCAACCACCGCATGAAACAACACCGCTACCTTACCATGGAAGAAAAAAAAATGCCGTGTCATACTCGCGGATAAAGCTTTAAAACACACACTATAGCAGCGTATAGCTGTATACGTCACTCCACTTCGTAGCCCTAACCATCTTCACTTATCGTGCCGCGTTGGTGCAACGCAGCGCGCATTGTCATGGTGGTGATGTCTAACCTCGATATAACGAACCTCGATATCTATAACAAATTTTCGTCGGAATAATCAGAAACTTCTTTCGACCTTTTATGTATTATCAACGACATTCTCTTTGTTTCGAAATTCGAACAATGTTTCGAATACCCGTGAGATGCAAGACAAGTGTCCGATATGATTGATTCTCGATATCTGGTATGTTGGTTATGACGTATATCGGTCATATCGAAGACATTCGCCGTTTCGTTGAACTCTTGGTTTGAGCCTACATTCAATTGTCTAGAAAGCAAGCCAACGCATGCGTAGTTTCCCCACAATGTCGTGAATAGGAGCTTGGTACAGGCGCAAAGGCCGACACAGTATCGCTAATGACGAAGGGTAGGTCTGCATGCTCGTGCTTTAGGATAAGCATCCTTATTTTTGGACTGTGTATATATACGTTATAATGGCCAACTCCTTATATAACGAATACATCGTATAGAGTATATCGATCATATACAAAACATAAGCGATTTCTTTATAGCGAGGCTCGACTTTATACACAACTCTCAAGAACGCAGAAACACGAGGGCGATCGGAAGTTTCCCCGAGATGTCTTAAGCAGGGGAGTTTACGGCACTACCCACATCTCTGTCGTGCTCCAGATGTAACGAATACGTCTTACAACGTGCATCGGTTATAACGAACACGCCTGAAACTTCGTTATAGCGGAGTTAGACGCCAGTCACGATTGTCCAGATCGCAGAGTCGTGAGGGAGGTGTCTGTTCGAGAAGTCTTGAAGAGGGGAGGCCGTGGAACTGTGTACATCTTTGCCGAGGCACCACGATGACTGTCAAGCCCGGATGAAATGCCTATAATGAAATACCCACGTCTTCCTGTAGTCGTCTCAAAGAGACAAGCTAAGCAGCAGATTAAAAAAACAACATAACAAAGCAGTTGCGTATGCGTGTGACATATAATATACCGTATAGTATACAATGTAGCCTGCGAATGTAGACCGCACAATGAATGTCCGCTCTATACCCGTTCCCTCAAAAGCGTGTTAAGCGTTTCTATACATATACGTGGCGTTTCTATGAGTGCATATCGTTCTTTGGTTTACGCGCGATGTATGGTGCTACCGCGGACGTCATATCAAGAGTGAAAAGCATGGAGCCTTTTTTCTGGCCCAGAAGTCACGTGATTATAGGAGAGAGTTGATAGATTTACTGCACTTAATCATGTACGCTATCAGTAATATATCAACTGCGAGCGTTGTTACACGCTACCCAGACAAACCCAATGATAACAAACGCGAGAACGTCGATATTCGGGCAATATAATTTTCAGATAACCGATTCAATCAGTGGATATACTCGAAGCTCGACGAAACCTTATTGCGCTCAGTGAAAGCGAATACTAAGCTAAACCTGACAGTAAGCTAGACGTCACTTCAAATTCAGCTCACGTGATATTCAGATCGACCGTGATTGGCTACTTCGGCGCTGTCATGCGCCTCATCACATCCAACCGTTCGTAAGTAAGTCTTCATGAGAACTCGTTGTGAATGTGTCTGGATACATCTAATTACTATATATATCGATATGCCCCCGGTATTACATTAACCGGTTCGTTGTAGTCGAGTTTGGCTGTACTTTACAAACCGTTGATAAAATATAAGAGCACATCGTAAGAAATAGTGCTATATTGTGTGACATCTTCTTGCTTTATTCTTTTGTATTATAGGCTGGCTTCCTAGAGGAAAGAAATAGGGGCATCTTTTTGTGCCGTCGCCATATTCTGTCCACCCGTGAAAGTAGAAGTGTTCAAAGAAATATAACAAGGCTTCATTTATAATTTTCAGTAGCTTATGAAATGTAAATTTCCGTGGTAGCTTTTTTAACGTTTATATAGCAACAACACAAAACACACAAAAAAAGCCTTGTGACATCGCTATAGCTAACGAAGTTCTTGGTTATTGTCCTTTAATTGTGCACGTTC